CTGCCCTGGGCCGTGTATATGCCGCAGATGCCCAGACAAGGGAGCCCGGCGGCGGCGGCGGCGGCGGCGGCGGCAGCGGCGGCGGCAGCGGCTGCTGTTGGTTACCGCAGTAGCCGTCAAAGCCACCCTGGTCGTCAGCCGCCATTTCGGTCAGCATGCTGGCTGGGCTCCCTTGTCTGGGCATCTGCGGCATATACACGGCCCAGGGCAGTGGGTTTGGCAGAGGTGGTACCTGTAAGACTAGGCTGTCCTGAAAGCCAGACATCTCATCCTGGGGTTCGAACTTCACGGGGACTCCTGAATCCATATCTGTGAAGCCCGCGTCCATATTTCCCGCTCCCCCGTCTGTGGACGATGGCGGCTCTGGGTCTCTGGCACCGGCGCACTGCCTTTTGTGTGTATGATTGTGCGACAGGAAGTAGGGCGGCGCCCCCAGCAGGCAGGGCGCTGGTTGGTTGAGGTTGGTTAGTTTTTCCTTTTTTGTTTCTAGTTTTGCAAAGTTTCATCGGCCTCTCTGGGCCCGTGTCTTTGTTTTATCTGTTTCCCTCGACGAAGTTCTATCGGTTTGGAGGGCTTCCCGCCAGAGAGGGCAAGGTAGGTGCCGCGCGAGAGTGAGGGGAAGCCAAATATGGCGAGACAGAGGGAGGCTTAGGGAGAACCGCAAGTGGATTGTCTGGCTTCAAAGACAGAAATCGGAGCCCCGCCCCCCCCCGCGAAAAAAAAGATCTCACTTGCGTTCACTCTCCCCCGCCCTCTCTGGTTCACTCCCAGAAAAAGATTATTACGGGTTTTTTAATTTGGGAAGCCTCTGTTGCCTGAAAGTGGGTCACTAGTACAAATGCACGCAGAAGACTATAATTCTTGGCCTGTGTTAACATTTGTAATTGCTTTCATCATTTCCATTCCCTATGGCTCGTAAGACTTTTTTTGTTTTTTTTTTTTTTTTTTTACCACAGTCACTTAATAAAATAAAAACCAGAATAAAGAAGCAACCCAGAGTCTTCAGCAATGATGGCATTCAGAGGAAACTTTTGTCACCAATAAAAGACAGTATAAAAACTCATTTTGAGGGCGAAGGCTAGGGAGAAATAAGCTGATACACTGTGCAAGGTGATTTCAGACCAACTAGGTGATTTCAGAACTTAAGAGAACTGTTGGGTTGAACCGTATGAATTTGCTAGGATTCAACTCTTTTGACTCGCAAAACATGTCAATTTCATATAGCTTATTCTAATATCAATCACTTCTTAGGGAACAAATTTATGAGAAGCCGCACCATATAATACCTAAGGACTTTAGAATGTGACTGCTTGCAGGGAAATCCTACCTCTGTCACTTAAAATATGTGTGATTTTGGATAAACAATCGTATCACTCTGTGCCTCAGCTTTTTTATCTGCATGATATTTGGTTGTATTACTAAAGGCAGCAATTTAAGTATATGCTTTACTGTTTGTTGTATAATTTTATTTCTTCCAGTTTGGGGTATTTACAAGCAATAATGCTGCAAATAATTCTTCTACACGTATGTTGGTGCTCAGTTGTAAGGCATTCTCTAGACTGTTTACTCAACAGTGGAAGTTCTGGATTAGAGGGCACAAACTTAAAAAAAAAAAAAAAAGCTTATTTATTTTGAAAGAGAGGAGGGGGGAAGGGGCAGAAGGAGAGACAAAGATCCCAAGCCGGCTCCACACTGTCAGTGCAGAGCCTGACACAGGGCTGGAACTCACAAACCGAGAGATCATCAGCTGAGCGGAAATCGAGAGTCTGACGTTTAACTGACTGAGCCGCCCAGGTGCCCCCCTATACTTTTCTAAGATTGCTATTAATGCTGTGCTATTTTTCAAGATAGTTTTATCAGTTTACATTCATTCCCATCACAACTGTGTGAGTTCCTATTGCTCCATGTGTTTGCCAACACAAGTATACTCACAGTTTAAATTTTGCTCATCCAGTGACTATTTACTGGTGCTTAATTGTGGTTTTAATTTCCCTGATTACTACTAAGTTCGAGCAGCACAAACAGAAAGGTACTCCGACTCATTTGGACTTCTTTTGTGAAGTACCTCTTCAACTTTAGTTGCTTTTTGTCAACTGCACCGTTTGCTGTTTTTTAACTGATGCATGGCGCACTATGTTCCAAGAGTGTGATCCACTAAATGTATAGCTTGAGTTTTTTTGACCATTGCAAATCACTGCGTGCCCTGGCTTGTGGTTAGAATTGATCAAAAACAGGTTCCCTTCACCCCTCCACTCCAAGGCACTTTTCCTTACAAACTGCAGGGGTGAGACTGTGGTTCAGGTTTGGGTCTGGTTTACCCTTCTATCAGGGTATAGTTCTTTAGGAAGCCGACTTAAAATGAGGATGATCTGTTTGCCTTCCTGTCTGCATACTTTCAAACTCCCTTGTTTAGCAAATTATCTATAGGGCAAAAGGTGCTTCAATCCTATATCGGGGTTCCGCCCCCAACTAAAATTTTGCCATCGTTATTCCTTACTATCTTGTCAGTTCTTTGATATGTACACACACACACACACACACACACACACACACACATATCCATATTTCCAATATACTTATTTGGTAGTGTTGTTCCAAAAAGCCCACTTTGCCATATTTCAGAAAACAGAACTCATTGCTGAATAAACCCCTAAAATCTTGTCCTGTGCCTAATGCCTCCAGTTCTCTTACAAATAAGTTGACCTCTAACAACTGGAGAGATTTTCAGTAAAATGTAGAGTTATTTGAAATACTTGCTAGCCTTGGACTAAAACCATTCCCCAGTGGCCTTTCAGAGTAGCGGGGATGTGAGTCTGAACGAGCCCAGGGCCCCACTGTTCACGAGAAGCAGTTGTCGCCTTGAGTTTCAAGGATTATTACTTAGAATATGAGGCCGTTTTAGAGATTTTATGCGTAAAACATCGACACCGTTCACAGGTGCCTAACTCTGCTTCCGATACGCAGGGCACAGAAGAATCCATATTCTGTGGTTCTAATGAGTGTAGGGAAGGGAGGAGAAAGATTTGTTCTACTGTCTGTGTGTGTACACCCACCTTGGGATTTAGTTTCCCTTCCGAAAGCTTGAGAAAATTGCCTGTTTTATCTGCTTTCCAAGGTTCTTCAATGATAAATGGAAAGATTATGCACAAATGAGTTAAATATTTAGGATACCAACTACAGTCTCCCACCCAAGATAACACATCTCTACAATTTTGCTTCCACTGTCCTTACTAGTTATCCACTGATACGAACCAGATTCAGGTCTAGGCACCCTTTATTACCCCTAAAGACCTGTGCAGACAACTGGAAAATGAGGCTGCAACCAGAGGCAATTTGTTCTTTTGCCAAAAGCCTTCTCAAATGGAGTCCCGGGGAGGTGGGTCAGTCCATGATTAAGGTTCAGGTGTAGGATTTATACACAAAACTTCTCATATTCTCTTCTGTCATTTGGCCCTATATAGATTTTATTTTCCATTTCTTTTGTTTGTGCAGAGTCCCAAAAGACAGTAACAGAAAGAGAATCAGGATGAGCACTGGAGTCTTTAGCCTGGAGCTTAAGGTTTTTTCCACCTCTGACCTGGGACAGCAAAGATTCCTTACTACACAGCACACCCCCCCATCTAATCCCTAGAGGGTCAGTCACTGCCTCTTACATAGGATGCTTCGTGGTAGCTCATAGGTAACTTTCTTTTCAAAATGACAGACACAAACTTTTTTCTTTTTTTTTCTTAATTTTTTTTTTTTTTTTTTAATTTTGAGACAGAGGGAGACAGAGCGCGAGCGGGGGAGGGGCAGACAGAGAGGGAGACACAGAACCTGAAACAGGCTCCAGGCTCCGAGCTGTCAGCACAGAGCCCGATGCGGGGCTCGAATCCATGAACCGTGAGATCATGACCTGAGCTGAAGTCGGACGCTTAACCAACTGAGCCACCCAGGCGCCCCACACTTTTTTTCTATCAATATATATATATATGAAATATGCATGATTATTTCCCTCTCCATCTATCTATCTATCTATCTATCCACACACACACAAAGACGCTAATCAAATACTATTCACAAGGCCAGACAGTCATCGCATTTGTAAGCTGGCTTACGAGATACTGCATTCTTTTTTCTTGTTCTGTGATCTCATTCTACTATCCTATCTTTTTTGGGGACAGATGGTCAGAAGTTGGTGGCATGTGAAGTTAAACAGAATTTTCCTGGTCCCTTCTTTTCAGGGCTTCCAAAATAACATTCTACTGGAATAAATTCCTCAGAGTAATTTCATTAATAATATTACAATATCACGCGCATACTAAATGCCAGGTGTTCCATACACATGACCGCAGACCCTCAGTGCCATCTGTTAGATGCTCGTTTCTGTTTTACAGATGAAGACATTGTGATTCAGAAGTAAAAAGTCATTTGTCCCAGGTGAGAAGATGGTAACATAAGGATTTAAATCCATGTTCGTCCGATAGCAAAACCCATTTCCTATAGCACTATGACACCTCGAGAAATACCACCGAGATTTAGTGGCATTTCATGCTTATTGACATCTGCATGGACAGATGGACTGACGAGGCACCTCCGATACATTTCACTTGCAATGTTAAAAAGCCCCTTTGAAAAAGGAATGCGACTAATCCTTTCATCGGCACTACCACCCACAAATGGTGCAAACCTTTGTTGTCATGTAGACATAGGCCTTCTCCCCTTCTGCATTTCATCTTATTTCCTGAAGGATGTTACAAAACCACTATTTGCCTCAAGGATTTTAATTAGAAATGGGTATCTCAGGGGCACCTGGGTGGCTCAGTCAGTTGAGTGTCTGACTCTTGATTTAGGCTCTGGTCATGATCCCAGGGTCGTGGGGTTGAGCCCCACATCGGACTCCACTCTGAGCGTGGAGCCTGCTTAAGGTTCTCTCTCCCTCCCTCTGCCCCTCTCCCTGGCTTGTGCGCACGTGCTCTCTCTCTCTCTCTAAAATAAAATAAAAAGGAAAAAAAAAAAAGAAATAGATATCTCAGATCTCCATGAGTTACCTTTAGTCAGAGTCACTGAATTTAGCCGCTGCTGATTTTGAAATTTCTCTAGGAAGTGGACAATAATTTAAAAAAAAAAAAAAAAATGAGAAAAAAAAAACGCAGTAGCTTCAGATTCTGACTCTGACACTTTTGGTATGATGTTGAATAATTATACTCCAAAGCCATTGCTTCCTTATCTGTAAAACAAGATCATACGATACACCCTGTAATGTTGTTATTGTGAGGCTCAGACGCCGTAATGTGTAAAGTGATTAGCAGAGTTCCTGGTACTATAGTAACAATAAAGAAACCTGAA